TGTTTCTGTTGATGCTGACGGTCACTGCTTAGCATGCACCTTGCTCAGGTCCTGCTGCTGTCTGTTTCTGTTGATGCCGATGGACATTGTTTCACATGCACCTTACCTAGTTCATGGCCTGTGCCGTGATAAAGAGAAGACCTTTTGCTTCTGCACCCCAGGTACAATTCCTGTGAGCAATCTGGCAAATATTTTAGAAACTGTGTAGTTTGTGTTGCCTTGGCTTTTTATGTGAATCTTTTAGATGATGAGGAAATGAGAGTGGTTCACAAGAAAATGGAGCAGACACAGGGGATAGTTAAGGGCCTCCTCCAAGCAATGTGGGTATCATAAAATAAATGTTAAAAAATGAAAGAACTAAACAAGAAGGTGCTGGGGTTGATACAAAGACTTAGAACTACCAGGAGTTGGGAGCATTAATGGTGATCACTTCAGGTCCATCAGCAATTCAGAGACCTAAACAAATATTCCCTATTTATGCCGAATTGGCAGACTGTAGAAATCTAGGAGACAAAATGACCAGGAAAAAATGTGTGATTTGGCATGGGTGAAGGTCTGGCAAGTTAATCAAGTTGAGGACTGTTGAAGTCCTAGGGTGATCTTGCCTTTGCTGGGTGCCCAGACCATAGTCACACTCGTGGGAAATTGCCAGCGAATAGAAAGTAGGTTTCTTTTCTATTTTTGGTAGTTCTTATTATCAGGCATATGAGCATTTGAATTTTGTCTTCATAGCATTTCCTGGGTATATTTCTCATTTTTTACAACACACATGATTTCCTCTAGATTTGCCACCTTCACAGGGTCACAGAGAAGGGTGGAAGAAGGGAGGCCCTGGCCTGGGTCTTGTAGGACCATGGACAAGAGTGGGGAGGGACAAGAGGAGGTTGTAAGAAATTATTCTGCTCCTCCCAGGAGGCTCAGGCCAGCCTTTTTTCTGCAATTGTGGTTCTGGTTGTAAACCGTGTACACTCTTCCCTTCGGGCCAGGGTGGAAACTATGCAAATTCAAGTGGGGACCTCCCGACTGAAACCCAGGGCTCCCCTCCACAGTGAGTTTCCTGCATCACCCAGCTGGGATCTCAGAGCCTCCTTTTCTGTCCTCCTCCAGGATGGGGTCCACCGTTATCCTCGCCCTCTTCCTGGCTGTTCTCCAAGGTCAGTCCTGCCCAGGGGTTGAGGTCACAGAGAAGAATGGGCAGAGGGGCCCTGGTGCAAATTTGGTGTCTCCCACACAGGTGTCTCTGCCGAGGTGCAGCTGGTGCCGTCTGCAGCAGAGGTGAAAAGGCCCGGGGAGTCTCTGAGGATCTCCTGTAAGACTTCTGGATACAGCTTTACCAGCTACTGGATCAGCTGGGTGCGCCAGATGCCAGGGAAAGAACTGGAGTGGATGGGGAGCATCCATCCTGGGACCTCTGATACCAGATACAGCCCGTCCTTCCAAGGCCACGTCACAATCTCAGCCGACAGCTCCACCAGCACAGCCTACCTGCAGTGGAGCAGCCTGAAGGCCTCGGACTCCGCCACGTATTATTGTGTAAGAGGGACCATCTAAAACCCCCCACGGTGCAGGTGCA